TGGGGAGGGGAAGGGGTGAAGGGGTGGATGGATAGGTTAGGGGAATGGGGGTTGTATGCAGATAGAGGGAGAGGAATGGTTGGATGGGGTTAGGGCCGGGAGGGGAAGGGGGATAGATGGAGGTAGGTCAGTCATCGAAGCTGTTGAAATTGAAGGTGGATGAACCACACGGAAAAGGGGAGGGGAGAGGAAGGTGGGTTGGATATGGATAGGGGAGGGGAAGAGAGTTGGATGGGGGTAAATGAAATGTTACGACTTTAACGCCCTATCATGGATGGGAGTAAGGGAGAAGAATGGTTGGATGGGGGTAGGGGAGGGGAAGGGCGTTGGAAGGAGGTAGGTCAGTCATCGAACCTGTTGAAGGTGGGTGGATCAGGCAGAGAAGGGGAGGGGAAGGTGAGTTGGATGGGGATAGGGGAGGGGAAGGGGGTTGGATGGAGGTAAATGAAATGGTATGAGTTAAACGCCCTATCATGTATGGGGGTAAGGGAGAAGAAGGGTTGGATGGGGGTAGGGGATGAGAAGATGGGTAGATGGAGGTAGGTAAGTCATCGGAAATGTTGAAGGTGGATGAACCACGAGGAGAAGGGGAGGGGAGGGGAGAGGAAGGGGGTTGGATGGGGGTAAATGAAATGTTACGGGTTTAACGCCCTATCATGGATGGGGGTAAGGGATAAAGAAGGGTTGGATGGGGATAGGGGAGAGGAAGTGGGTTGGATGGGGGTGAATGAAATGTTACAGCTTTAACGCCCTATTATGGATGGGGGTAAGGGATAAAGAAGGGTTGGATGGGAGTAGGTGGAGGTGAAGAGGGGTAGATGGAGGTAGGTCAGTCATCGAAGCTGTTGAAGGTGGATGGACCACGAGGGATGGGAGAGGGGATGGGGTGTGTGGAATAGGTGCACAGAAGTGTTGATAATGCGTGGGGGGGGGGGTAGTGTAGAGGATAGAGGTATGGAAGGGTGGAATTGGGGATAGGGAAGAGACTAGAACATGAGGTTGGTAAGGATTGATGGACCTCGGGGAAAAGGAGAGGGGAAGGGGGTGAATGGGCGTAGTGGAGGGGAAGGGGTGAATGGCGGAAAAGTATGTGTGTGGGGGGGGGG